ACAACAGCCCAGCAATTGCTACAATCAGTGCCCACAAGTTTTGACTAAGACCAAGACTATGACTATTCAAGAGCCAGGATACAATACTCCCTATTATACCAGGAAGTGCTGACGCAGCTTTCCCAGCGAGCTTTCCTAGTGCTTCTCCTAATGCCTTTAAATGCTATTTTATCAACTCTTTTTACACCATCTGACCTAGGTGTAGGTGGTGTAGACGTACCACCACCTCCGGTTAACGCGAGAGTCAAAGTTGATATAATAAATCCCAATGCGGTTAAAATACTGGTAATGGTTATCCCTTGTTCTCTGAACCATGTTTTAATTTTCTTGGCCAGTGTAGTATCATCATTGAGGACTTGATTGATTGTTTCTCGAATTCGACTGATTTGTGAACGAAGTGCCTCTTTATTAGTGGAAGCTGCTTTGAGGCGGGCCGATCTTTTGTCTTCTAAGTTACACAGCGTCTACTGAATTCATCGTCTACCTGTTCAAGTGTTGTTTTCTCATAAGAAAAATGCTTGTCGAGTACATCTAGCTTGGCTATATTATTGATGAGTGATCCTCGCATTGTTTGCATTGCTTTGTCAAGACCTCATAATTCCCTAATATTGAACTCCAACTCCTCGAGTTGTGGTATGTATGGCACCGAGTTCAGTATGCACAGTCTGAAGAACCTTAGTTAGTCTTTGCAGAAAGTTTTGCTTGTGAATTGTCGTAGTCTACAAGACCTAATTCATTGCGAATAATGTTGATGCAACCACGACGTCCGGCTATCGTAGACAAGGCTAGGGGCTTCCTAGTACGAGAATGCATAAGATCAATATCCAGAGAGCCACGCAGTTGCAATATTCTTTTACTATCTTTTGTAAACTTGGAATAGTCACGACGAATAGGAGCAACATATTTTTTGTCTTCTTTTAAGACATCGTAATAATCATTAACGGTTGATTGCAAATGTTTATGGTTAAGATTCATAAAGCTGGTTTCATCAGTACCCTCTTCGGCTGTACTAGTATCAGTTAGGTTATCTAGATTAGTATCATCCATTTTTATATTAAACATAAGGTTACATAATTTCAATATAAACAATGTCTTCACAATACGGATGCAAGTTAAACCCACAACGGGGGCGGTCGGGTAGCCTAGTGGTTAAAGCGTTCGCTCGTCACGCCGAAGACCCGGGTTCGATTCCTGACATGGGTACAATGTGTGAAGCCCATTTCTGGTGTCCCCCGCCGTGATATTGCTGGAATATTGCTAAAAGCGGCGTAAAACCATACTCACTCACTCACTAAACCCACAACGTAGACTTCGGGTTCCATTAGGGGTCAAAGCAATTCACCAGTCTGTAACTATAACTAATAACCTGAGTACCACTGATCAGATTCAAACTCTTCTAGTTCACTTTCCCAATTTCGGCGCTCACGATGTGTTAGTTCCAGGAACTGCCTGACTATCATTTGCAATTAGTTTGACTTCTGATTAAGCCAACAGAGAACTTGTTCAGAACATAAGTCGTGCAATTGTAAAGAAAATTACGATTAAAATTAGCGGTAATGAGGTTCTATATTCCGCTCGACTTTGAATTACTAGATAGTCACATGCCCTTTATCAAACATCCCTAGGTGATAGGTTAGAATACGAACTCACTTTTAATGACTACAGCAGAGTAATCAATACCGGCATGCGAGCATATCAACAGTGGAATTAGATTAAAAACTCCCTTCTATAAAATGAAGCCCAGAAGTTAACGTGGTCGCATAAGATCTGTCAGAATGGAAGATTCGTGCAAGCTATCTATTAATAATCTTTTACCTAACGAACCCCGGGCAAATGGGTTGCGGAAAAACAGCTTTTATTCTAGATATTTTACAAAGTCATTATCAGAATGTTTTCAACCATATTATTATTCTGTGTCCGACTATAAACCTTAATAAAACATACCTGTCGAGAGAATGGGTAATGAATGATCCCGGGGTGTACAAAGTTGATCCAGGCAATCGTTTACAAGACAGTTTACGAGTGTGTCGCAAAAAATAGAATGGAGAAACAACCCTTTTCATACTAGACAACTGCAGTGCAAGAAAAGAACTTACCAAAAAGAAAGATATGCTTTCATATTTAGCATTCTCCGTACGTCATATGGAGCATCGTGTTTGGGTCCTTACTCAAAAATACAAATCTGTTCTGAAAGATCTCAGAGAGCAGACCAAATGGGTTGCTCTGTTTCATTGCATAGACCGAGATTCATTTGAGGAATGTCTATGTGATAATAGTGTTATTTTTACCAAATTCGAAAGAGATAAAGTCAGAAAACTGTTACTTGAAACAAAGCACTGTACACTCGTATTAAACACTAACCAACCACCTGCTTATGCAATTGCTTAGCAAAAACATAACAAAAATACAGCAAAGTATAGCAAAAATATAGCAAAAATGTTGCAAAAATATAGCAAAATATAGTAAAATGCGATAAATTGAACACTAGTGGTGATTATGTAATAGTGTGGTTGGAAATCCTCATTCTTTTTTAACAGTTTATTATTTTGGGCTGTATTGGATATGTCATATTTCATTATGTTAGACTTAAATATCAGCTAGGGTACTACATTAAAAAGATGGAATGTGACGAACTTCTCGAACAACTGCTCCAAGATGAGCCAGAACCTGTAGTTACAGATCAACAAAGAGAAAGACTTGTGGCTTTGGTAGCTGGTGGAAAATGCTCCCCATACTTGGGGCAAAATTATACCACTGACAAAATTGATAACATGACCGAGGAAGAAATTAAAAAACTATACAGGCGTTACAAGTCTAGACTGGGAGCTACCATGACAAAAACAATAGGACCAGCTTTGGTACAAATATTCACAGTTTTAGCTAGTACGTTTCTTCCTATCCCGCCAGCAAATTGCCTGTATTTATGCGAATCTCTCGAGAAAGACCCATTTATCGAACACGCTTTAAGCGCAGTAAGCTGTGAGTTTTATTATATACTGAACAACAAAAGTTCCTGTCACACTGAAAAAGATTTAATGCAAAGTTATGTTTTTTACCAAATCTGAAACAATTTTGAAACAGATAAAAGACTCCTGTAAATGTTCAAATGGTTTAATTTGCCATACTGACTTAAGAAAATGTCGGATATCTGTCCATATCTGCTGGAGCATGTTTCGAAGTTCCTGGAGTGTCTGTGGAACATGTGTTTGACGTTGAAGGCGCCGATCCATCTCATCCCACATGTGCTCGATTGGTGAGAGATCAGGGGAGCGAGCAGGCCAGAGGATGACATTCACGTTGTTTTGTTGAAGAGAATCCTGAACAAGTCGAGCAATATGAATCCGGGCGTTGTCATGTTGAAAGGTAATGCCTGGGCCATGACGACGCAAAAACGGTAGAACAACAGGGCCGATGATCTTGTCGAAGTAGCGCTGTCCATTGAGATTTCCCTCTACCACTATCAAACGGGTCCTCTGTCTTGCTGTAATCCCACCCCATACCATAACGCTGCCACCCCTGAACCGATCTTCTTCCATGACTCAATGATTGACGTAACATTCACCTCAACGTCGGTACACTTGAATCTGTCCATCGCTGTGGCTGAGGTGAAAACGAGACTCGTCAGTGAATAGAACTTGTCCCCTGTATGGCCGTCCAGCGTAGATGCTGTCTGCACCACCGTAGCATGCTTGATGGTGGTTTCTTGTCAAAATGGGACGTCTCGCGGGTCTTCTGGCGACAATCACTGCACATCTGAGGCAACGACGTACGGTTTGTGAAGATATTCGTCCAAGGCCAGGGATGCTTCTAGCAGTCACTGTTGCTGGCTGGAATTGATTTTGTAGGTGTGTTGTTCGATCCCAGTTGTCTTGTCGATTATTGGTTTCGCGTGGCCTGCCACTCCGAGGAATGGTCTCTGACTGCATTCGTCTGTTGCCAACGTTGCTATTAACACCAAATGGTGTTTCTGTGGACGTTAAATTGTCTTGCAACAAAAATGCAGGATAAGTATACAAATGTAAAAAATATTTAGATTTTACTAATATTGAAAATCATTAATATTCCTTCCTATTGAAGATAATTCTGAATATAGATCTATTTAGCCAGCCCTAACTTATATTTGGATTTCCTGTGTGCACTCGGGTTACATCTCTGTCCCCTGCCACAAAACGGAATTTTGTGATAACTACAAAGTAATTCCACGAACATTCTTCCATGTGTAGAAATGCTCTAAGGTGTTATTCCATAACTAAGCTAAGTAAAACTGTGGACCAGCCTGATCATATTTTCTGTTAATTCTCTTGAAAATTTTGGCAGCTACCAACTTTAAAAGGTGAGTAAATCTTTCGATCATCATTGTCGACTGAAACTTGGGCAAATGTAGGTTAATGGCTAGATTCATGCTTAGAGGTCACTTAAATTATTTCAAAACCACCGGGAGTGATGTCATAACCAGAAGTATATTGCAACTTTCAAGGGCTTTATTAGGTACACCCACAAACAACTATCCAAGGATTCCCTAGATGTCAGAACCTGCCAGTTGCTCTGGGATTACTCCTAATGTAATATAGGTTTTGTATTTGCACAAATTATCAAACAATAGTTATCATCTCCATTACATCAGGAGTAATAACACCCACCTATCTGCATTTAGTTATCAGGTGTTGGAAAGACAAAAGGTTTCTCACTGTGGGCATACAAAAAATGGATACTATTACTTGCACAACTGAATATGGATAGTTGACAGTGGATAGTGAAGTTTTTAAAGTGTGATGACAGCCAAAATACAGGATTTATGGCACTGATGAAATAAGGGAAGTATTCTTAGAATTATTAACAATAAAAAATATTCTTTGATGTTAGTTCTCAGCATTTCTGCAGAAGATATTTTAATATGAATGCAAACAGCAATTCTTGTTCAGGCCTATCATTACATTGACTGTTGACAACATATCCAGGTGAACTACAGTGCCATGGTGCTTGTATTATTTTGTTAACAGGAGTTAATGCGATCTGTGTCGAGGCATCCAGAAGAAAAATTGTTTACTCAAGAGCCTGGAATCATCAGTCCATTGCACAAGTCATCAGAATGTAGATCAATGGTAAGTGTTTCCAAATCTGCTTTATGCTTTGTGGGATGTAAAATATTGATAACGAACTAGATAGACTTGAATCCTAGAGCAGACAATAATATCCTCATCCACAGAATACCGGAAGCTATAGGTAAAGAAAAACCAATAGCATGTAAACAAAATATGTGCACACAGACTTGGCATTAAATGTGAAAATGCAAATTGAATTCGCCCCAATGATTGCCAAGCTACATTCGTCTGACGACAAAGTTTGTGTCTTAAAAGAGAGACCCACATTTAAGACCTATTAAGCCTGCTGAAATTGTTTTAGCATAAGGCGCTGTAAAGAGGGTGGACGATTTCAAACAGTTGGTGCTTCATTTGCACATTTATTCCTGATAGAAAACTACACATGACTTTGTAAACATTTCCTATGTTTTCAGTCATACCAAGGTTAAGACCAGAGAGATCACAAAATTTGTAAAATGAGTTACTTTATTGAAGGTGGTTTACGTTTCATGTTAGAACCATTTTTAAATCGTTAAATTTGCGCAAATTGATTTCAATAATCTTATCCCCGATATCTTGATTTTAACTGAGTATAAATTCGATGTTTTTATTTCTTAATAACAGTCGGATGGTAAATTATGCCCATTTCAGTAAATTTATTACTCAATCGTTAAACAGAAAATATACAAAATTTCGAGGTCATCTTATCAGTTGCAGAAATACAAACATTTGGGTTAAACGTTAGGTGTCACTTTATAACAATTGCAGGAAACAATTAATGACTCATAAATATTCACCAATCCTAATTTCAAGTGTTTTGGTTGAATATTTACGATATACGAAAATACAAATACCATGTCATGATGCTAGCAGACGTTCGAAAATCAAACATGGTGCGCTTTGCCCGACCTGGGCATAACTTATTGCTATTTAAACTTATTGCTGTTTTAACAAAGTTTACACTGCCTCCATTTATATGCCTTGGCGAAAGTTGACGATCCTCTCTACCGAAGAATGGTTCATTTGTAATTTTCCATTTAATACGATGAGAGAAAAACAAAAATAAAGATCATGAATTCTGACAGCACTATTTCAGTAAGTCACCAGATGTGATGTCAGAGACAGGGGAAGTCTGTTGATAACCTTTCGTACAAAACAATTACAGTCAATTTTGAAATAATTCGCCTGTCACACACAGAATAAACACAAATCATCACATATTATCAGAAATCACCACTAAGATGAAATAACAAAGTGATTTTCACGATATAATTGGCATATTTTCTACTCCATTTCACATCGCATGCTCCAGTGACCCGGAAACGGTAGAAGATGAATCAACACGCCACATGGAAGTTTTTCGGTATCTTTTATTTGAACATGTTGATATATAAGGATGTTACGTTGAATATAAAGGGATATGATTAATGTATCTGAGGTAATGATTTTGTTTTCACTATAATAATTGTATCCCAGGCAATACGTCTATAAATATTGTCGATCGACAGTGATCACCCTCTTCAACAGGTGCGCGAAAATAGGCGTGACAAAAAACGGGTTTAAAAAAACCATTCATGCGATACCAAATATGATTGGAAAAACGCAAGTGCGTGAGGTATATATCAATAAAATAATACATACACATTTTCAGTGTTAGTTTCTAATTTAATGTGGTATGGTTAAAGGGGAAGTGTACACGAAAAAATCACTTTCTTTCTTATTTAAAATAAAACGCAATTTTAGAATTAGTTAGTTTCAGTGTTTGAAAATATGCATTCATTTTTCTCAGTCAAAATAGGGAGCTCACAATAAGTGTGAAAATATCATGCGATTATGATGCCTCTATTTTCCGAAGGAAACAGGCCTGCTTTATCTCCCTTAGATTATAATGTAATTGGTGCCAATTTAACTGGATCCCTGTCTTGTCACAACACATAAGATATCAAGTAACAGTTTATGGTGAGTCGACTTGGCATCCGATACATTGCTTGGTTCGAAGAAGTTCCCTTGACCCTTCAAGAAATCGCAAAACCATATGCTTATGAACCAATACAAGCAAGCTTCGCGGTATAATGAAAATCAAGTGGAAACAAGAGAAGACCCACCCCTGATGTGTCACCCGACCCTGACTCGACATCTACACAATTACCAGTGACTACATGGTAAGAATAAATTTGTGTGTATACCTAAATTACCTATATGCCCATTATTACATTTTCAGAATTGGAAACGTAATATTCTAAGGTTTTTGTCACCTCTGGTGACCCACATGCTTCGTCAGCAGGCCTATTCATCCTGTCCCACCCTGTTACGACCCTAGCTATCACTGGTATCGGCATTGTCGTCAATCTGAGTTTGTCTGTATCAGGTATAACTATTCCCACCAACTATAGGCTTCAGATCAATGCTACTTGGCAATATCAAGAAACAAATTTATACGATCTGCTGCCAAACGTTGTCTCAAAAAGATTACAGATTAGGCCTACCAGCTGATGACGAGACCATATGCTTAGAGTAACACGAAAATGGGGTACGTCCCAGTACGTTTCTAAATTAAAGTCAGTTGCCTAGTGGAAACATACTGGGAAAAAAAAAAATCTCTTTGATATTTTCCCATCCGTATTCAAAATAACTGCCATATTTTATGGATAATTAACTGGATGTTGTACTTCACACCAGCACCAGCACCAGCACCAGCACCAGCACCAGCACCAGCACCACTACCAGCACCAGCACCAGCACCAGCACCAGCACCAGCACCACTACCAGCACCAGCACCAGCACCAGTACCAGCACCAGCACCAGCACTACTACCAGCACCAGCACCAGCACCAGCACCACTACCAGCACCAGCACCAGCACCAGCACCAGCACCAGCACCAGCACCAGCACCACTACCAGCACCAGCACCAGCACCAGCTCCAGCACCAGCACCAGCACCAGCACCAGCCGAACAAAACCACTCCATTGATGTGTTTAGTGTTTGAAACCAGTTACTGCAGTAGGCTTATTACTAATTCTATTTAATAGATAATTGGTTATTGGTTTGTTCTGACAACCATTCATAGAATATGCATTGCAACTTAGCAGGGAAACTATTTATCATCCATTATGAGGCCAGATTTTTTAGAAACTGTTTCCAAACTAAAAGAAAGATGTTTAATATATAATTAATTATCAAAAACAGTGGGTTGTTTAATTGAGTGGACCAGATATATGTAAAATGTTTACAAAAAGCTCATTTACTATCACTATCAATATAGATATATATATATATATATATATATATATATATATATATATATATATATATATATATATATATATATATATTCAAATATTTTTTATTAATATTCAACATGTATATATTATTTAAGAAACTATAAGTAAAACTTGTTGAATATTAATAAAAAAAAATTGAAATTGTAAATCTTTGTTTGGAAATTTGGACCTCATGACATTACTATTTGAGCAAAATGCCTGGCCTATAACAACCACCCCCTAAAACTGGAAATAATCACATGCAGATCAACCATTTAACCTGTGTTCAGTGTGTTCTAAATGTTTACACCTTATTTCATGTGGTAAAGATTCAATTTCATAACAAAATACAGTCTGTATAACTCTGTTACATATGAACTCAGACATTATTAAACCATTGTGGTGATTAGGACCAATTATGTAAATTTAGAGATATAATATATTAAATACTATAATATTAACCTGATGCAATAATGTTACAGGTGCACTTGTTGTTAGCTGTGCTGTCTGGATGTCGCTCCCATCAGTAACAAGCTTGATACTTGAACCTCTGACTGATACACCTCGACCTACACCACGTGAAACGGGTCTAATAAAGTCTTATGACGTCATTCCTTTATCAATTGGCACCGAAGGCGTCATATTGCAAGGGGCATAAGCCATGGTATATTTATTATGGAAATAGAACTCTCAGTAAATGTGAAAAATATGAACTGATTTTATGAATAAAATAAATTAGATACTTGTGATATTTTTATTGTTTTGCCTCTGAAACTACTAGGTAAATGCTTTTCATGATGAAAAAGTACAAGAAAAATAGGTTTATTTTCGTGTGAACTTGCCCTTTAAAGAATTTTTCTTTTTATAATACATTTTTCAATTCTAGCATGATTTTAGAACAATTTCATGGAGCATTTAAAATTTATTCCATCAATATAGAGACCGCCATGATTGTGTATTGATGATATATTTGTTAATGTTAAATCATTTACAGCTGTTTACAACTTTTAAGTTATATTTTTTATATTTAGTAGCTATTTTTTGCCACAATGATTATGTGTATGTGTATTATCTCTAGTTGAAACATATTTTATTCAAGAATTATTATCTTTCACATGAACATCAAATATGTGAATAAGTAACAATTTCATGTCGTTATTTAAGATTAGTATTCCATTAAAAATAATGGTCCTTATGAATATATGCATACACAACTCATACAGACATTTATCTTGTGTATGAAGTGGTTTGTTTCCAAACAAAACAATTCTTACATATAATTGTAATATGAATAGGAATGAGATTTTTGTATGTTCAATCACAAGAACCAGGGTGGCACTTAAGCTGGTGAGTTCGCCATATATTTACAAGAGAATGTTATCTTTTGAAAAAGGAATAGGGCACATATATACATACATTGACAATTCTTGCAGTTCGGTTCTCTTGAAGAAAGGTACATGGAAATATCATACCTTATGAATTTTTTCAGAGTTCTTGCCAATGGAATCCTGTGTAATTAGTCTGGCAGGACTTTCCAGGTTGGTTGCAGTATGCTCGAGTGTTTGACAGTGATGCCCATGCATGTCTCCCCTTAAGGAACATGAACCACTGTGAAATGTAATCAACAGATTTTTGCCTATCAGTAGTATAGGTAATGGTGATTCTGGCTCACTTCCACTGGAGCCAGATTTATATACCTATACCGCTACTACAGAGGGAATTTTTTATGTGTAAACGCTGATGCAATTCAACAATAGTCA